TGTAAGTGAGGAGAATAACAAAAGGAGTTGGGGCATAAGCAGCTGACCCATATAACTATTCATCAATAAAACATCAAAGCATAATTCAATTGGAAACAAAATTATAGTCGATTCAGTATTTTATCTGAAACCCTCCCAAAAAAATAATTATATTAGATAATCCGTCATAATACTGACTTGTAATGAAATATTGATTTATTACAGATTTTTAATTATTTATTTTATTATTATAAAAAAATGTGAGTTATATAAATCAGATAGCTCCTTATGCTACTCACACATTTTTTGTAATTTATTTGGTTGTTATAAATGTTATTTATTTATTATAACATTCTCGTTTTTACTGGATTTTTTTTCTACACTACTGTAAAATTATTGAAAAAAATAAAATAAAAAATTATCAAAGAAAAAACTACACGAAAATGTGTAATACTTGCCATATACATATATAAGAAAGGAGCAAATATTATGTGTAATATGTAATTTATGAATAAAACCGACAAACCGAAGACAAAAAAAAAATTATCTTGAAATATTTTTAAAAATAAAACAAAATTTGCTTTGTTTCTGCGTCCTTACAAATGTTTATTAAATGTGCAGTTGAAGGAAATCAAAATTGTCCTGCAGCGCAGCGCAGTGTTCTTCAACCCCTTCTCCGTTGTTTGTTCTGTTTATTGCAGAATAAAAGGATGTCATAGCTTAAGCTTTACACACATACCCACGCTCTTTGCCTACTTTTAGGCTTAGGCCATAAATAAATGTTTGCTTAGTGCGGCTCATAATGCACTGACAATGCGACCAAATATGCGATGAGCACTGGAAGATTCACATTCCATGCGCAATTCCATGTCATATAAGAAAAATATTTATGTGGCGCCAATATGTCGCTTATTTAAGAGTTATTTACTATTACAAATATAGAAAGCGTATTTTATAATCACAAAAGTTTTGTATATATATTTTTTTATAAATCTGTAATTTGTATATATAATGTATGATATTATTGTTTACATATTACGTATACGTTTAAACAATATTTTTGTAAAAATATTATGATCTTTTAAAAAAAGTCTTTAAGCAAAATAATTATTAGTTTTATATACACGATGCTTTAACATCATTCAAACAGATATTTCTATTAATTCTTAATTCTGTTCTGATAATATTATAATTTAACTTAACAAAAATAAATTTTATTTATAATAAAATTAAATTCATAATCAAAAATTTATTTTACATAATTACTTTATATGGCACACGGTACTCCCAACCGGTGACAGCCTAAGGACACTCTCAAGGACGATTCACGTTTCTAATGGCCATAATAATATAATAAAATTATATATATATATAATAATATAACAAATTATATATATATATTATATTATATATATATACAATATAAGTAATAAATAAATATAAATATATGCAAAATAAATATTTTGCATGGGCCAGCCAATTTTTTTTATATCATCAGCTTTGATCACCTTTATATATACTAAAGTTAGCATACACAATATTATTCATCTAATTTCTTTAGTTATTAAGACATACTGTCATTATAACAGTTAAAATAACATATCTGAATTTAACCATCTCATCTGTTTTATATGAAAATTTAAATGTTTTATAACGCTTTCGATATGCAACATCTTGATTAATTTAATACATATACTCTAATGTTTTCGATATACATCTTGATTAACCTAAAACATATACTATTTATTGAAAATAATATGGCGATTATAATAACATATAGTAGTTGTGTTAAAGTATTTTGGTATGAGAGTTTATTCTACAGTTTATTCTCAAAAGTAATTTAGAGGTATACCAGACCTTTATTTTAATAACTATTAAAAATGAAAAGAATCTAATAAAAAATTTTTCATTATAATATTTTGTAACAAAATAATGGTACATAATTAATACCATTTGTGAACCATTTGTGACCATTTAGTAATTTTTTTCTTTATTCAGAAAATAATAAATACTTATGGTTTTAAAAAAAGTTGAGAATAATTGCTCGAGTTAATTTAAAGAATAAACTTGCAAAAAACAAAAAAATAAACTAAGAAAGACTACATGGACGTCAATCTCTGAACTAAAGAATAATAGAATTACTTATTTACTAAATTATATTAATAAATTACTAAATTTTATAAAGGGGATTGAGTTATTTCGATCTTGGCATTAATTTAAGACCTGTGGAACCGTACACAGCAATAAACCGTTCCAGTTCAGATTGGTCGACTTAAATGGCGATAGATTGGTCACACATTTCGAAAATGCGAATTATATTGTAAGAACAGCACTCAGATAGAACACCTAAGGCTCTAGAAGACCTGATGCAGAACTGTAGATAGAGAACTTCATAATGTAAATTATAACTGGAGTGATGTATGTCGAGAAGCACCCATAGAGTTACGTTTAGATCTAGGACGGAGGCCCTATGCTCCACGAAGGGAAGAGGGTAACAGTAAGTAAGTAACTAATTAATACAATATTAATATCACATTAATATTATATTAATTATTACATTATTACAATATTAATATTACATTAATATTATATTAATTAGCATTTATATAACTTTTAGAACTATTTAGAGATGATTTCTAAAATATTGCTTTGTTTTACTCTGTAATATTTTACTGTTATCATAAACTATTAAATAAATTAAAAGATGGATATTTACATAGGTATGAACATTATGAACAATAAATATATTTTGGTCGCAGTACATTCCAGCTTTTAATTATATACATACATTAAGTCAAAGAGTTATTTAGAATTACTTAAAGGATTAATATGTATGTCACATATAAACCGTCAAAGAAGTATCGAGAAATTAGTATTTGACGCTGTAGATATCTAAGAAAGCCAAACGTTCATTAATATTTAACTACGCTGCATGTAATTTTTTATAAATATCTATTTTTATTAGCACTAGTGAAATATAATTGTACTATTCAATTAGTAGTAGTAATTATTAAATTTAGTGCATATAAATTTATAGAAATTGAATTTAGTTTAAAATATTTTTAGTGTATATGTTTCTCGTAATACATTTTAATTTGTTGATAAGTACTTTTAGATGGAAAATTTATATGAATAATAATAATTATAATGAATAAAAATTTTTAACATAAGACAGTCCTAACACATTGAAGAATAGACTAAATTAAAGACAATTATTAGCAAAAAAAAAGGATTTGATAAACAAACCATATTCATACATTTCTTTTACTCGATGCTACGCTTTTGATATGGCTCATTGTAACATTACATTTCTATTTTTTTTTGTAGTGAGGAGATGGAAGGCTTTATGCACCGTCAAGCGACCATCGTCGGAATGGTGTGCCCGACTCTCTAACACTAATATGTAGTATACGGACTAAAACTTTCTCTTTTCGGTGACTTATTCCCCCTCGGAACCCCCTCGGAACCATTACTTGGAGGTCACTATATTTCTACTTTGAATCCATAATATTTCAAAAACAAAAAAATAATAAAAAGTACGAACTGGAACTACCCTTATTGATATTTCGGCGCTTGAAATTTTTATGAAGTCAAATAAACTTATTAATAAATAAAAAAAAATTAATAATAAAAATATTTACTCAGAACTAAACTAATAATAATAAAGCAATCAATCCGTTTTCTCTATCGACACAGAAACCGGAATTGAACCAATTATATTTTTAATTTAACGAAAATAAAATAAAATAAATTACCAATAGAGTTTGTTATAGGTTTTACTATCTATGGTAGGATGCAGAGTTTTTAACTTTGGCGGTAATACCGAAGATATTGAAAATAGAAATAACAAATCATATCAAATATTTAGGTAACTTAAGCATATCTGGAACTCTTTATTTTTATCACATGGGTACAACTTGAAAATAATCAACTTCCACATTGTATCCGATTATGTACGATTACGAAATATGCCCTATGGCTTTTGTAATTCATGTATACCTTTGTTAAACCATAATCGTATCTTTAGTATGCACGTAATACTAAAGATATGATAACCAGAAACTATATCTAATAATAGACTATAGTCACAAACTAATCAGACTACTATCAAAGCGAAAATAGTGAAGAGAAAATTAATATGAATCGTCAAGAAAATGAAACGCGTAGCATCACAAGACAAGTCGTTAGAGCAACCCTTAAAGATCTGAGGACGCTCAGCGCACACATGGAGAAAGCAGCTCGACAAAGAACATGAAAAAAGCATAATGAACTAGAGTAAAATTAAAATAATGTTTTCGAATGCAACTAATAAAATATTTTATTTTAGTTTATTTATAAAAAAATTTAAATTCAACTGTTAACTACTATTTACTACTTACTTATTATATACTACTATTTAGTAAAAGTATTATGAAATATAGGGACTATACTGATGCCTTGCAAAATCGGTTTCATCTTGAACGTTTTTTTGTGATTGGTATGTTTATCAAAATTGTATATTAACTGCATTAATGTATCTTTCCAGTAAGTTCATGCCAACTACAAACCAATACGATAACTCGTCTAAGACGAAAACAGCCCTGCGATTTGGTCAAGCATTGGTATAGACTATATACCTTATAATGTCTTTACTTACGTATTCATTTATTACTTATTTAATTTTTTATTGAAATAAAATTTTTTGTTAGTATTTTATGGTACCAGATACGACTGTACAACGCACGACAAATAAAATTATAATTACATTTCATAAAAAACAATAAAAATGTAAAACAGTTCATATTGTCATGTATAAATTTATAAAATTTATAGTTTAAATAATAGATATATAAATATAATGCATATATTATTAATAATTACAAGTCCTAAATATAGTTATTATAAAATATTAAAATTTTTAAAAATATTTACAATTTGAAAATTAATTAGAATTCAATTGAAATGATTTTCAAAAAAGATAGATTAGATTTAAAGATAATATATCTATATAGACCAACTGCATATAATAAAAAAGCACTTACCAGAATTTTTTCTTATGTAATCACATCTGTGGTTTTTTGTGGATGTTGAGGAAATCGCGGTGTGCGCAATGTGCGAATATGTAAAAATTTTTCTAGTATTTCCATATTACGTCCATTTTTAAAATGCGCGCGCGTTTTATCTGCACTATTTTCCTTCCGATAAATATATTAATTTATTTATATTTATTTAGGTTTAATATGTTTTTGCTATACTAAGCATTTATTTATGAAAGATATAATTTTTTTAATATGATATTATTTATATCAATAATGATTTTGCATTAGAGTTTAGTTATGTAAATACTATTAAACGTTTTTACTATATAAGTTTGGGATTATTTTAATATTTTTAATATTATTAATATTTTTCTACTTCTAATTAAATAAGTTATTGTTATTTTTTTCTATATAAGTTTCAATTATGTCGCTGGAAATTGTATTATATATGAAGTTACATATTATTTAATATTTTATTTTATTTTTAAATATTATTTTAATGCATAATAATTTAAGCAAAGTTAAATTTTGAACTCTTAAATTAATTATTATTTTTTTTTTGCTTCTTATGAATAAATTTATTTAGCAGTTGATTTTTTTTAATTGAGTAAATGATTTAATATCGATGTTACCTATATTTTAAGGGATAAATGAAGCTTCAATTTAACATTTTCACTAGTTATTCACTACTTTTGTTTTAATCAAACTAATTTTTTAATTATTTATAATTTTATTTGTAATTTACACTTGTAACACTTTTTAGTTCGTTTGACGTTCTATGGGTTTCTGTTATAGCCATAAGCGATGTGTGCCTGCACTGAGCTTTCAGACGCATTTGTCGCACTTTTGGTCGCTTGATTTGCTAGTGACAGTTTTTGGTTTAGTTGTTGTTTTGACTTGTGTTTTTGTTTTTGTTATTGTTTTTTTGTTATTGGTGATGTCTTTCAACAGTTTCATCAATGTTGCCAAAAGATTTAAAACAATGGATTTCTTGGGTTAAAGCCAGCTTAATCTAAAAATTGGCAAAAACTAATTGAAGTGTAAACAACAAAGTCTGGCACTGGACCCTTATCAACAAAGGTCGACGATGTCACCATTCAGGTTGCTGTTAAAAGTTAACACTTGTATTTGTTGTCACTTTCTGTTACTTTTGTTATTATTGAAATAATTATATATTATTTAACTGATCAAGTGCTGTTTGGTCAGTCATCACTTATTGGGGTTTATTATTTTTGAGTACACAGTATCGTGCAGTTGATACAGCACATGTCAATGTAAACTTCATCCAGCAGCCTGCCTGTTGACGTTTGCCGCTGCTGGCAGCTGTATGATCGAGTCGGATATTTTGGTACACTTAGAAGCTGTTAACGATGTTCCTGTTGGGATGGGCTTGCATTGCTGTTATATGTTGTCCAACTGCCAATAGTCAGTGTAGTCAGTGAGTGAGTTTCTGTTTTTAATTCTTATTGTTCCAGTTATTTGAAGTAGTAGTGTTTCAGTTACTTTGGCCAAAAGACTATGGAATTGACCTTAACTGTTGCTGTTGGCATCCATATCATCATTTCTGGCTTATGACAATCGCTGATGACTTTTTGAATTTTTAGCCAAGAAGTCCAATCGCAAAACAAGACGTGGCAAAGTAGATTTTTGGCTTCATCTCTACGTTGCATCTTAATTTTTGTATTTGGACCCATCACCACCAAATCACTTTTGTTAGCCAAAAGTTGAAGAAGCAGCAGCAACAGCAGCAGCAGCAAAAAAAAAAATATTATGATTTTTATTTGATTATTTTTTATTTTTAAATTTTGTGTTTGCTCTGCTGTTGTTGCCGTGGCTATTTTCTTGGATGCGTCTCAAATCTAAGCGCGGTAGCCCGAGGGCACCAGTTTCGGTGCCAGCCAGCGCACACCACACGTTGGCTCGCTGGCTGGCGGCTGCCTGCTACTTTGTTGGCCAACTGACTGACGACTGCCTTAGTTGATGTCGTTTTTGGCCAATGTGCACTTTTCTGTTCGTATCCAATTCGTTAACAATCGTTTTGTCTATGATATCAATTCGGCTCTATTTCGCCACATACCAAACTGTATGTAGCTGACTAACTTCCACGCAAGTTACATGCACACAAACTCGTATGCAGTTCGTAGCCAAATTCATTGTGGCATTATTATGTACGAATATGTTGGCAACAACGCTTACTCGGTCGTCTTCGCTCTCACTCTGTCTCTCTTGAACTTGAGATGTGCCAAACTTCGTGTTCTAGTATTGCACTATTGTTGCAACAAAAATAGCACATTTTCTGCTCGTGCCGTTAACAGCGTGTATGCACGTGTTTTATTCTGCTTGAATGTATTCGCTTATATGTATGTGTATTGTATGTACTTTCTTTTATTACTTCTATGTTTTGTTGCTATTCTATTGCAGTTCTACGCTTCATTGTATTTACATTATGAACACAACAACACAACAACACAACAAGAAGGTGACTTTGTGTTTTGCATATCACGGCAAACGAATTGCTGTAAGTAAAAGAGAATTATATGCATCAATTAATTATTTTCTGCAAGAAATTTTTAATATAAATAAATACATTTAATTTATTTGATAATACAACAAAAAATATTTTAATTTTAAAACTTTAAGTTAGATGTTTAAAAAACATATATATGAACATTTTATTTTTGATATATAATAAATAAAATATAATAATATAAAAAGTAATATAAGAGTATAATACATAATAAATATATATACTGTATAATATATTCTATTTTTTATACATAATAAATAATATATACTAATATAAAAAACAATATAAAATCACAATTAATGTATAATATATAACAACACATGAATATACAACACATATTTAAAATATATAAATCAATAAATATTTAAATAATAAATATATAAATTAAATATAAATTTTTTAGTTAAGTATTTGAAAAACATATCAGAGAACATTTTACATTTTTTTATATATAATAAATAATATTTAATAATATAAGAAACAATATAAAAGTATAATTAATCTATAATATACAATAACACATAAAATAATACGTATAAAATATATAAATTAAATATAAATTTTTTAGTTAAATGTTTGAAAAACATATCAGAGAACATTTTACATTTTTTATATATAATAAATAATTTAATAATATAAAAAACAATATAAAAGTATGATTAATCTATAATATACAATAACACATAAAATAATATGTATTAAATATATAAATTAAATATAAATATTGAGTTAAATTGTTTGAAAAATATATTTTTTTTTTTTTAATTTTATTTTCTTATATTGCGATCTGTCAATTCAGAGTAGACAATAAACAATATTTAAAAGTGACTAAATACTTAAAATTATTTTTATAAATTATTTAGTTAAATGTTTGAAAGACATGTCAGAAAACATTTCACATTTTTTATATATAATAATAATATTTAATAATATAAAAAAATAAAAGTATAATAATTCTATAATATACATCAACACATAATATAATATATATAAAATATATAAATTATACATTATTTAGTTAAATGTGTGTATCTGGGAATATTCAACTTTTTTTATGTATAATAATATAAACAACTATATAAAAGTATATTAAATGTATAATATATAACAACACATAAAATAATGTATAGAAAATATATAAATTAATAAATATGTAAATAATAAATATATAAATAAAATATAAATTATTTAATTAAATGTTTGAAAAACATATATGAAAACACTTCACTTTTTTATACATATATAATATATAATAATTATTAAAAAATTTTTATAATTAATAATTAACAATTATTACTAATGTAATAATACATAGTTATTATTTTTTGCAACAAATTTCTAATATTAAAACATTTCACTTTTTTTATATACAAAAAATGTATAACATATTATTTTATACATTTTATCTATAACAAATAATACGTAGTAATATATAAGACAATATATAAAATAATATAAAAAACAGTATCAAAGTGTAAATAATACATAATAATGTATTAAATAACATATAAGTATAAATAATATATAAAATATAAAAATACATAAAATAAAAAAATAATATACACAATATAAATTCTTAATATTTTAAATTATAATATATTTTTATGAATGTTTTATATCAAAATTTGATTTTTAGAAATTTTTTTCTTTAAAATATTACATCCGATCCTTTCTTCCTCTTTTGAGGATTTTGGCTTCCTTTCAGGACCTCGCTCTATAGAGCATTTTAAACTTTGCCAAAAATTCAAGCTGTTTGTTTTTTAAATTAATTATATTCGATCCTTATTTTCGTACTTTAGAATATTGGTCATTTCATTTCTTTCTAAGCAGCATTTTAAGGCTTGCTTAAGGTTCAAGATGATTTTCATACCTATGAGTTTTTTTATACGGTAATACAATGATTCAATAGATCCAAATGAATCCGTAAAAGCGCCGGTATAACCTACCTAACCTATTTTTAATCAGTGAATGTTTTAAACAAATAATTTAAAAAAAAAATTAAAAACTTGAGACGATAGTTTTATAAACACAAAATAATAAAAGAAAAAAAATTCCAATTATGTAATGTAATATCTTTTTTTCAAATTTATAGGATTTTTTTATTTAGACTACAGCGTCTACTGGTTTTCAGTCACTTCTTACAATAGGTATGCCTTTCCTTTAGGAATACTCTATCCCGTTTCCGCGAGTGTAGTTTATTAATATTTGGTACTTTAAAAATCTAAATGTATCTTACATTAAATATTGAAATGGAAATTTTCGTGATAAATATCTAAAAAAAATTTAGTTGTATCTTTATTGGATGAAACCAAGATTGTTCAAAGATTTAACTGTTTACACATCCAACTTAGGCAATAATAAATTAAATTATCAAAAACTATAATAGTCAATAGAGATGGTTCAATAGATATAGTTTTGGAAGTGGGTAGGTCATACGCTTAGACAACCGAGAAATTACATAGCCAGGCAAGCTTTGGAATGGAATCCACAAGATAGCAGAAGATCTGGCGTGTCAGCGAAAACGTGGAGAAGAACGGTCGAAAGTGAGCTAGCTGAAGCACGATATACATGGAAGGACAACTATTGAAAACCACCAAAAGATTCAGATTTAGAAGAATTATTGAGGGCCTATGCCCTACTGTGGGAAGTGAAAAATAATAGTAGTATTCTAAGATTATCCAGACCTAACACGTGTTTCAACGTAATAAGTACTAATAGTAACTAGGGCTATTTGTAAAGTCAATCGTTTCTTCTTTTTTTTAATTATTTTCGCGTGTTGTAATATAAAAAAATTTATTAAGTGGAAAAAGTAAGTTTTAAT